TTTTACATGCTGCATTCATATGGGCTGGTTAATAGATGTAAAACTTAGCAAAATTCCACTTTATTTCTGACCTAGACCTAAAGACAGGCCACAGTGGTGGTCTTTAAACCTACCTCTCTCTCTGATGTAGCACATCTGTTTTAGGCCCCAATCAATCAGATTCTTTTACACCTCTTACCTTTTTATACAGAACTGCTCAGAACCAAACCCACTACAGTCAAAGTTATCACTCTGAAACAGCTTCGCTTATCTGCCAAAATGGTGAGCGATTCTTTACTGAGTTTAGGGTCCGACATCCAGCTCCCACTGGTGAAATTCAAGGATTTGTGAAAGACCTCAGGCACAAAATCCCTTCTTTGCGCAGGCTGTTCTCCTTCTCTGTGTGGCAATGCAGAGAAAAAATATAGATTCCAGGCACACACATCTGAGGCAGCTTTTATGATCTTGATTGTCAATGAATCAGTTCATTAATTTGCTATTTTTCGTCAATAAAGTATTGTGTTTTTGCTGACTAGCCTCACAAAAATGGGTAATTTTGAATTATATGATGCTTTAAATGCAAAAGGCGCTGCGTATTATCACACTGACACTGGAGGCAAACATTTAGTCAAGAAATGATGAAACGAAAATCATATTAAAACGAGAGCTCTTGTTTTAATCAAGCAGTTTATTCAACAAATCTCCGCTCAAGTGAAAATAGATTGTGTCGCAGGAAGAGTTTATAGATAATCTGTCACTTTCAGCACGCACTCAAGTTCCTCTGAAAATCTGAAAGTAGGCCATGAATGGCCTGGAGTTCATTTGGATGTCACCATCCGAGGAGTATTTGAGACATCCTTTGCTACTCAGCCCGTGTCGGTTGTCTCAACACTCGACGAACAACAAGCAGCAGGGTGGCAGAAAAGCGAACAGTGAGACACAAATCTCTAGTTCATGCCCCCGGTGTGAAAACAAGTGGCTTCTTCACGAGCAACACTCCCTGTCCTCTCTCACGCCTCCGTCCTCCATCCCCAGGAGCTACGGCTTTTTCATCACCGGCCTATTGGGCAGTAGGGGCACGCGGCCTGTCGCGCGGTCTCACTCCAGCTTTCTTGCGCCTTCATTTGTCCACTGCCTGTGGTTCGACTCGTACCTTAACCAGCCATGTGAGCCCGCTTGATCCTGTCGACCCCTCTCGCTCTCCTAGGGGAGGCCATCAGCCAGCTGAGACCATTTGTCTGCATGTAATGGAAGTCTGAGGCTGTGGAGCGAGGTTAGGGCCCCCTCACGGCCCAACGGAGAGGGACAGCCGTGACAGATGCCAAAACACTTTAGTGTGTGTGTGTGTGTTAGAGCCAGGGTAGCATTGTCACATCGTGGCAGTACTAAATTAACACAATCATATAAACATAGCGATGATAAAGTTAGGGGGCTGAAATAGATAGGAAGATATCCTCTTAAGCCTGATTTTCCAAATATGGAGTCCGGGGACCGTGTTTTTTTTAATTAAAGAGAGCAACTGTGGATCATTGTTAATTTAATTTAGCTGAAATTCAATTTATTTGTAATAATGGAAATAGGAGAGGGGGAAGCAGCTAGTGGCAAATGAAACATTTAAATCCCTATCTCTCTGCCTCAATCAAAAGTAAATCCTCATCATCACTATTGATGAAAATGCCACAGCGTCAGCCTGTCAGGTCAAGAAAAACCACGCTTGAAAATTATGCTCAACATAAATGAAATGATCTAGAAGACAGTAATTGTGTCTGAGATTTACACCACTTCCTGCTGCAAATAAAAGCAGTGTTGCTTCAAGCTGCATACTTGGCCAAGATGTCTCTGAGCAGCTGTCAAGCCCGCCAGTCTCTGTAGAGCACCGCTGTGCTTGCCAAAGTATAACATAAAAAGAAATTGGTTGATTTTTTACTTTAAAAACAGGAGAAAACTCTATATGGTGCGAAAATATGCATAAAAACTAGAAGGAGTTGGATGCATGCTAGCACATAGCTCAGCTCTGTGGCTCTATAAATCCCCGCACCGTGCCGTATTTGTGGTAGCCATCGTTACAAGCGAGCTATAGACAGCTGCTCACAACACCGCTGGGAGATGGGGAGTCGACAAAAAGCTGACCACAATGCGTTCTGACAGAGAGACTAAACGAGAGAAAAGAAAACAGAAATGATGTCAGAAAGCTAATCAAAAATCCTCAATTTTAAAAACACGTTCTCATCCTCTCTCCTTTTGCCCCCTTGATAAATACTTAAAGCCGTTCAGGATAATTGGCATCCTTTTGTTTTCTCTCAACATCATGTGGTCTTTGATCCCTGAGGCCCAGCAAGCTCTGGGAGCGGTTAGGTCTACTGAACAGACCGCGTTACAAAGTTCCGCGCAACCCCCACTGCACCGGCGCTGATTACAGGCTGGGAGAGAGCGGCTCAGCGGGGGAGCGTATTAAAATCAACTAGCAGGGGAAAAATTGCCTCCCGCTTCCTGTAACTGGAGGAATCTGAATTTTTCCTTAGTTTGGCTCGTGCTTAGATAGGGGCATTACATTTTGAATGATCTTTTGGGGGGGCAAAAAAGTGAAAAGTGTTGGTTTTCCGGGAATGATGCAGTCGGTGTCAGACAAGCTGTTCTTGCAAGTCAAAGAGCGGCAAGAACTGTTGTATTTAGACAGTGAAGGGTTAACAGGAGGACATTTCCTCAGCTCTGTATGAAAAGGAAGAGGTGTCAGCTAAAGTGAAAGGTGTTGCTGCTCGGGAGCAGCTAGTAAAAAGGCTAATCTAACTCAAGACTGACTTCAAAAGACCTCCAGAAAGGTTTGACAGACTGGAGTGTTTCTGCACTTCATGGAATAATCGACACAAGACGCCTGCAAGTGAAGGCTCATTCAATTTGGAAACCAGTCTCCAGCATATACATCATCGGGTCATGTTGGAGCTGCTGTTTATTTTATTTCAAAGTGTAAAAGATTCAAAACAAAATGTTTGTCGTTCTTTTTGTTTCTTTTTTTTCTGTTCAGACAAGCTTTAAGCTTTAACCTTAACTTTGCGCCTTATGGAAACCTTTTAATCTTTTTCTCAGCTATAGACAGTCATAGTTATTCACATTAAAAACAGAGAAAGCCCCCGATTTTTTTATATTCAACACAGTCTGTGTTATCCAGTTTTTAGCTACTAGTATCATATTTTACTGTATGCTGGACTTCAGATTCCATGTGAAGGGGTAAAGCCTGGCCTGTGTCCTCATATGTGAATGTTCCTGAGAAGTCACCCGGGATTCATTCAGCACCTCGGACACTTCCGTGTTTCCTACATCCCTGAAGAGATCCATAATTCATAGCTGTGTGTCCAGGTTGTCACCGCTCCAGCGAGCTAGCATAAAATATTTACCGCGGATCATAAGCTGTAGACATTGAGGCTCGCCTGCCCCTTTAAAAAAGGAGTGTTTCAGTACCAGGATGCACGAGGAATCCCGAATGAACCCTGTGACTCGGGCCTCTTTTAGCATATTTGAAAATCAATCACTGTGAAGATGTGTCTCACACAGTGAACGTTAAAGGCACGGGTGGCTTCTGCGCCACAGTTTGTGATGCGTCACAGGTTTCTGTATCCTGGCTTGCAGCTGTTTCTGGTGTGTTTGTGCACATGCACACAATTGTACTTATTTTCTGTGCAAGTACGAGCAAGTTTTTGACACCCCTCCTCTGGACGCGGATGGAGAAGTGTTGCTGTTGGTTTTATGCATTTTACACGGAACACATGTCAAAGTATACTATAGTTTGTATAGTATAGTTTTATGCAAGTTTTATACAAAAGGCCACAAAGCCACTAATAGCAGGGGATGTTCTTTTTTTTCAGTAGTTGAGATTGATCAGTAGATCGGGTTCAATTCAGATACATTGAATTGAACATTGAACAAGAATTGCTCAGGGAAATTTACAGAAAGAGAAAATCAAACTCTAATGTCACCAAGGACAGTGGATAGGTGGCAAAAATAACCTTTAAATAGGACTGATTTGTGTCCAACTGAGGGGATCCTCTGAAATCCCAAATGTCCTGGTCAAAATATTTGCAGCTTGATTTTCAACTGATATAACGGCTGTGCATATTTTCAATTCAAAGCATAGATTTACTGATTTACATCTGTGTGGATTTCCTTAAACGCACATGTCAGCTGCTTATGATGTATTAGTTTGATGTCTGCTAGAAAAGACGGTCACGTTCAGCTTTTGGCTGAAAAGATAAAGTGGAAGAGATGGGTGGAACAGGTTAGAACTGTACACGGAGGATACGAGACCTAGTTAGAATATGTGGTATCAGATAGTTGAACAGGCACAGATAATAAGAAAATATTGATTACAGACTTAATCCGGGGGCAACAGTATCAGGCATCAGAGTGGGGGGGTTTGTTCCTCACTGGCTGCTACACTAAAAATACAAAGTCAGATGTAGAGCTCGAACAAGACCTCAAAACTTGGAATTGGGGTTTAAATAGGGCTATTAGGTTCAGGTACAGAAAAATGGATCAGTGTTCAATTATTTTAGGCCTCGTTTCAGCAGCTGATGAGGAGGATGCTATTGATTCCTGCCAAAAGTGGTAAGCTGCCAAAATATATGCCACAGGAAGTAGTGAGGTACGAACATCTAATTAAAAGCCTTATACAAGCATATCATATCTGAGATGGAAGAGTCAATATTTCTGCTTTGCTCAGTCAGCACTTACACATTGTTTACACATTGTGAATCAATAGACCTAATGCTGCTTGAATAGGGTAATTAAAATGGTAAAATATTTGATGTCCTTTTCAGATCAAGACTGGACACAAATAAACATCTAACGTATTAAGCTCCAATTAGGTTTCTCTTTTAGCAAGAAGCCTCTCATGGGCCCTTGATTCTCACAGTTTTTTGTTTTTTTTTGTGTCATATGTATATCACTGAGCGTCCCAGATTCCTCACACCAGAGTGATTAACATAATCTCGCAGCCTTTGCGTCATTTCGTGTGCAGTGCATTCACCTTGTTTTGTTTCTATTCTCTCCTCAGTGCAATTACTCTGGACAACACGCTGGTTATTTTATCTACGGTGGCACCAGATGCTGGGCGCTATTATGTGCAGGCTGTAAACGACAAGAATGGAGAGAACAAGACCAGCCAGCCCATCACCTTATCAGTAGAGAGTGAGTAACCGCATTAATGCTCTTTCGGTGATCACATGTCAACTCACAATGTGCATTATACCAATGTGCATTATACCAAATGTTATGCATTTAACGCATGCTTTTAGCACGTCGTTTTAGTTTTTCAGGTTCCCTTTAAAGCAACCATTTCATAAAAGATTGCGCTCTGTGAATTATCTTTACTCTGCAAACATGACTAAATCTAAACTAAATTCTGACAATGTGAACTGAAGATACTTCAGCACATTCTCTTTCACACAGACCACCCAAATGTGTTTGTCATGACAATTGCTGGGTAAGAGGTTTTTTCTGTTTTCCCTGATGTTTTACTGAGAGGAATTATATAAAACATGTTTCAATGTTGCACAAAATAGCATAAATACCCAATAAAGGTTAAACATAGGCTTTAACTGTACAATGACCATAGCATTACAGATTCTTAGCATCAAGCAAAATAAAATGTTTAAGGCACGCAGAATCTAATGGATATCATTAACTTGGAGTGGTTGATTTTGCATAAGTATTTGTTTAGCAAATTTTTTTAATCTGTCTCATCTTTTACAGTAATATTTAATTACCATAGCTTTTCCGTTTTTCGGCCACTTCTTAGTTAGTGATCAGTTTTCAATTTCAAAAAGCTCTAAGACCTGTACGTTCATTTATTAGCAAGCAATTTCACGTGCACGAGTCCGTGTGTATCGGATCATTGATCGAGTATCTGTCGCTGAGTCATTTACCCGTCTGCAGAAAATGGCTGTAAAGTTCCTGTAAGAACTAGTGGTGCACATCTGTGGACTACAGTGTGCTGTAACTGACAGAACAAAGTCATGTCAAATATAATAACGGAAATAGAAAAAACGTCTTCTTTAAAAGATTCCTGTGAGCTGCCACATCAAATGTTAACTGTTAAAGCGAGAGGAATGTTACAGTTCTACCAAGCCGTAAATGGAAGGACATTAACTTTACTTTACAGGTCAGAGAGGGCCAACTCACATCAATACACCATCAACAGGCTTGTTCTAACGGTCTTTCGAATAGATCTTTTTTTTTCATCGGAATCAGATGTGCTGAAGCAGGAAAACGTCTAAAACCTGCAGGCTGCTGGCCCTCGAGTTTAACATCCCATTTTTAAAAGGGTGCGACACCCTTTAAGGTATTTAAATTGAGATTAAGCCTTGAATGTCACACAGAAGAATAAATGCAAAGGTACTGTTTAACTGGAACTAGGCTTTCTTTATAATATTTTTTTTGTTATGGCTTTAGTTTAATTATGCACATAAAACTCCAAAATGGTAATCATTTAGAGAAAAAAACACACCTCTTTTTGTTGTTCACCATCACCTCTTTGACAAAGGAAAGGTTAGATGGAATTGATTAGGCTTATCAACTATGAGATGGTAGGATATTTATAATAAAATCTAAAATCAAATCCTAATTAAGCATTGTTTTTATCTTTTTTTTATCAGTGAGAATCATCAGATAACGTCTGCGTCTCTGCGGAGGCACTTTTGGTATAATTGGAGGAATGAAAATGACATATCACAGCCGAATAACTAAACAAAATCATTTTCCCTTTCCTTTATTTGTAAGTTGTCGTTTCAGTATGAAAAAATACATGCCGTTATCTGGTCCACCCAGTTATGCCATTTTCGATGCATTTCTCATTTTTTTTCTGTGTTCTGAACTCAAATAATCCTAATAATAACTCATGTAGCTGGCTCTTTCTTGGTTTGATCCAAAAGAAGGCAACTTTTTTTCAGAGGGAGACTTTTAATGGACTGCTTTTACCTTGTTTTCCTTTTGTTTGCACAGTTTAAGTGGCCTCAGCCCAGCAGAGGGAATTCAAATTGGCTACATTATAGACAGCCTCATATGACACCATAGTGTTGAGTTCATTATGAGATTAAGTGAGTAGGGTGTGGGTAAGATATTACAGTTGACAACACAAGGGAGCAGAAATAGCCTCTGGCGCATGTTGAGAGCAATGGCAGAGTTGATTATGCTAGTACAGTAACACACACACATACGTGCATTCGCTAGTTCGAATTATCCAAAGAGCCTAACAGGAGGTCTCAACTCTGCAGGTCTGATGGAAACACACCATGCATTAACATTAACCTGCCACACACGCTCTACATAGGAACACACACATCCTTCATAAGAAAAAGTACATGTTTCCCTCTTTCTCGCTTTTTTTGTTGGACATAAAACATCCCTCGTGTAAATTACTTTTAGTTCTTTAAGAGTTTTTAGACCATCTTAAGATATGTAGTTCACTGGGGATTTTTTGTCTCAATGAATGACTGTTTTTACACAGAAAATGTGATCATTTCACCATGAACTTGTTGGCATGATTAGACAAATAGATTTTTATGATATTCTTGCTTTTTTCAATATATTCAACGTTTAGCAAAAAACACTTACTTTTGTCAAGACAAAGTCCTTTTTATTCTGAATGCGTTCGACTTGTTAAGATGCCCATTTACAGCCTTGGTGGTGAGGATGCAGGAATGGTTTTGCTCCGATAAGCCGCCTGTGAAGGTTATATTTGTGCATTTGTCACTGCAAAGTAGAACAGCGCTCAGCTTCTGTAATACACTAAACCTCCCTGAAGGTCTGTCACATGTTTTCGTGTCCCTATTTTATCTTTACTTTTTGAGCGAGCACGAGTCTAAACACCTTTTCAGCTTCCCAGGTTTTAACTTCGCCTCCACTCTTTGAATAATGCCATTTTTAAACACACCACAGACACATGCAACTGAACAGGACGGGCCTTAACATTTCTAAACAGTTTTCTCCTGTTTGCATAAAATGTTTCAAAGACAGCCGAGGCTTCGAGAAGGCTATCACTAATGCCTGAAAAGGTTTGCAAAGGTTTTGAATTTCGAATCGCCTGACTTTTCCTTACAACAATGAAAGAGACTGTTTCTTACAAGCTAATTAAGGCTTGAAACCTCATTAAGAGTTGTCTGAGAGACCTCAGTGCTTGGCGTACAATTTGACCTCTCATTAAATCAGTCAGGGCTGTAAAACTAAACATATTTCCATACCTAACACGGAAGGCAATCATAGAACTGTATCTATCCATTTAAGAAAAAGAGGAAGATACAGCATTTAAACTTTCAGTTAACAACTATCTTGAGGTTCTTTAAGATCAAGTGTCTTTCTGGTGACTTTCAGTCACTTGGGCCTTTCTCAGGTGTGTATCGGTGTGTTTACGCGTGCACATGGAGGCACGCGCCCAAGCGTTAGCGCTAAGACTGAGTCATGACGTCCCCTGCAGCTGCATCTGACATGTGCAGCCACAAGCTCACTCCCAGGGCCTGATGGGATTGACAGATCAGTGCAAGTTTATCACAGACATGACACATTTCAAGCAGCACGCACGCGAGGTTCTCATCGCCCTGGGCGGAGGTTGATGCTAAAGGGCGCACACTCCGACAAACTCGCTCAGGAATAAACTAGTTTGCACGTACATTTGTCAGTTTAAGACATTAAGATGCAGTTATTTTTGTTCACACATAATGCATTTTCCATTTTAAGCTTTACTTTTGTCTTTCCCCTTTTGTGGTTTCCGAACGGATGCCGTGTTACGCAAAGTCAGTGCACTGACTCATCCTGTTCAGCCCATCTCTCAGTCAGAACTTAGATTCTGTGTATGCACTGGTCAGTTTCAATATTTCACATCGGTGGGCATCCACAGAGAGCACTGAGAAGAAACAAAGTTAAATCCCACAGAATCAACCGGTGTAATAACACCGTTTATATGAACTGAATCTGGTTTTATCAGATAGTACGACCGAGCTTATTATCTCCACGTGTGATCTTTTCCTTCGGTGGAAAAAAAAAATTGGTGACCTTTCTATCTGTCTATCTAGATGTGGGTGGTCCAGCAGATCCCATTGCACCGACCGTCATCATCCCTCCCAGGAACACCAGTGTGGTCACAGGCACCTCAGAGGTCACCATGGAGTGCGTGGCCAATGCTAGGTAAAAGTCACACACCTGGAATTTTCACCAAGGTTTTGCAAATTGAACCAAAACCTACATGCACCTGAATTTAAAACCCATGTTCAAACCAACAGAATGAATTCTTCTACAGATTTGTGTTCTCTAAGAGTCATTTTAAAGCGTGAGTTACCAATTAATGCTGTTTTTCTGGCGTGTAGACCGCTCATCAAGCTGAGCATCTCCTGGCGTAAGAACGGTGTGGTGGTGACCAGCGGTTTGAGCGACTTCAACCGGAGGCTGACCATCCTCAGCCCCGTGGTGAGCGACGCCGGCTACTACGAATGCGAGGCCATCCTCCGCAGCAGCAGCGTGCCTTCAGTCAGCGCCGGGGCTTATCTGCACGTGCTCGGTATGAAATTCCAGCAGTTTATTCTCTCTCGTTTATTATCACCAGATATCATGGTGTCACTGTCATAATCCTTCCTTGCACATCCCTATTTGTAGGTGATGATACCCCTCTAATTACACCTGTTGCTAGTGTTTCACACTAATTCACACCCTTCTTTCTTATCAAAAGCCGTTTGAAAATGTTGAAACACCTTCCAAACTCATTGTCAATGGTGACAATTACAGGACGTCAATAAAATGAAAAGCTTTGTTCGTGCTGCAAAAGAAAATTCATTAGAATTCTTCTCCTCTTGTGTCCTCTTGTGTTTTTTTGTTCTAATGTTCAGTCCACACGTGAAAATTGTTTTTTTACATGCAGGATGCTATGGATTCTCCTCTACTTGGAAACTAGACTAAAAGTCTGTAATCATGAGAGTTTCCAATGATGATCTTTCTTTTTTTTTTTCTAAAATAAATAGACGCAAACTCCAAAAATAAAAGTCCTGCACATATTTATATACAGTACAGAACAAAGTTTTGACCTACTCCTAAAATTGAAAATTTTACGAGGATAACAAAGGATCGGGTCAGTGAATTAATTGAAACCTATCTTAAATTAATGTAAAGATATAATATAAAGTAAAAACAGAGTTTGTATATTTCTATTCTATTTCCACAGTCAATATTTGAGCCCTTTGGTCTTTCATAGTTTGTGGAGTTGTTTGACATTTTGGAACAGACAGAATGATCTAATATAACACAAAGGCGTGAGAGTTACATGTATCAGTCAACGTACGTTGGAGTAAACTTAGCATTTAGGTCTGCAAATTCAAAGAAACGGGATGGCTTGAAATGGATGTTTATGTTACTCATCTCCCTACACGACTGGCGAAAGCGCAGCTGTGAAGTCGTGAGGCGGTAACTGGAAATTGTTGATTTAAAAGGGAGAAAGCTAATGGTTGGCCTCGAGAAACAGTTTAATAGTGTTGCTTGAGTCACTTTCATTCCATCCTGCTGAAACACTTTGATGTTTTCAAGGTTGTGATGTGACTCAAAGCGCGGGGTTGGGTGAACCTTTCCCTTGATACTGCAAACAGAATCTTCACTCTTCCTCTCCCTGTCAACTGGAGGAGTCATCTACATTTAAAGACTCTTTTTTTTTTAACAAAGCTTCACAAACTTGTGGTTCGCTAGCTTTGATGCCAACTCATTCCTTTATCTGTTAATCCCCATTTTAAGCTCGCAGAAGTTGTTGCAGACTGTTGCTTGTGATACTTTTTTAATGATTTTGTTAAGTTGTCCTAATGTTTTCCCCCTTAAAACTTTCAGAGCCACCACAGTTTATAAAGGAACCAGAGAAGCACATTACAGCGGAAATGGAAAAGGTGGTGGACATCCCCTGTCAGGCACGGGGTGAGTGGTTCAGATTGACCCTGTGATCATAAACATCCACAGCAATTGTTCAATAAAATGTCGTCAAACTAATTCTTTGAAAAGAGATGGAAGTTTTTCTGTGTATTCCCTCTTGCAGGAGTGCCCCAACCGGACATTGTGTGGTATAAGGATGCTCTGCCCATTGATCCAGTGAAGACTCCCCGGTACAGGGTGCTGGTGGGAGGCAGCCTGCAGGTCAATGGCCTCCTTCCTGATGACACCGGCATGTTTCAGTGCTTTGCCAGAAATTTGGCTGGAGAAGTTCAGACCAACACCTACTTGGCTGTTACTAGTAAGTCCTTCACCAGTTCTCTTAAAATAGTTTGGCTATAGTTTTTTTTCTATCTCTTTGTTTTTGTTTTACTGAAATGTGTGAAATCCCACACACTCCTATGTAATATAGTGGAAGCTCCCTATTCAAAAGTAATGAAAAATTAACAGGTCGGATAGTGTGTAAAATGATCATCTATAATCCTGCAATGATTTGTAAATCTCATAAACCAATATTTCTGTAGTCATTTTACAATTTATATAATTTAGAATTTAGTAACTAGGTGTTGGTTAGTTATCTAAATCTAGAGTACGAATATCTCTTTGCATGAGTGGCAAAACCACATATCAGTGTTGTATATTCATGATCTGCAGGCCCCAAAGGTGCCACTGCATTGAGATCACTGCATGTAGCTTAAATACTGATTAACGCATGCACAAAGGTTAAGTCTTGCTTGAACAAGGTCCAGGAACACCGATAAAATCCTAGTGTATCAGACAAAAAGGGGGCAACATTCCACTCCCAAAGGTCTAGCAGTACTTTTTTTCACTCTGTGGTTTTAACAATTAGTTTTATAAAACTTCTTTCCCTGTTTTGGTGTAATTGTGAAGTGCAGCATACCAGTAGTTGAGTTTTGGGTGTAGCAGGAGGACACAGCATGCACCACATCCACCTCAAAGCTATACTCTGTTATGAAGAAACACTATCCCATTATGAATAAAAAATATTCATTACCATGATGTTTTGATAGAAACTAGAAATCAGGTGTGTATTTTGTTTCTGCTAAGATCCTGCTTCATCGGCCTCGCTGTTATTTTTTAAATAATTGTGAATTTGTAGATGCGTTTTTTAAGTTTTTTTTTTACCCAAGCCTGTCACTGCTGGAATTTAAAAATCAATGGTAATTTTGTTCTCACCGTGCATCTATTCTGCGAGTTTCTGACATCTAATTTTCCTCACTGTGTCTCGGATCCTGCTGCCTTCACCCCACGACGCACTTTGTTATCAGAATTCATCATATTCTGTCTGACTAAATCACGCCCTCCATCCCTATTATTCTGCATCCCTCCAGATCTTATCTTATCACCTTCCATTTTCCCAGCACATGCATGTTCCCACTTTCTATGTCCCGAGATCCATTCTGCTTGTTTCTGTGGGGAGGGATACAGTTTCCTGTGACCCTGTGAAGTCTTTGATGTATTGCATATTACAAATAAGGATTTTAGTTTCCTGGAAATGGCTTCTCTCTCCATCTATGCTTCTTTTTTCCCCCCTCAGTCTATCCGTATATTTGCCATGTTTCTGGGTGTGAAAAACAGACAGGCATCAGACAGATGTGGGCTCCAAGGTGAAGACTGTGTCAATCCTTTTAGAATTAGCGGAACAAAGCTCCGACTAAACGCTGAGATGCAGCATGCTGGCGCTTACAAGAAATGCGTTTGAAGTGGGGCTTTGCCACATACAATTTTTTTTCCCTCACCCCGGTAACCCTCTTACCTTCTCTAGTTACTGTACTGAGCTGTGTTTATTCTATGTGTGTGTGTGTGTGTGCGTGTGTGTCTGGGTTCTACCTCCCTAAGGCATTGCACCGAATATCACAGCCGGACCGTCAGACAGCACTGTGATCGACGGGATGTCAATCATCCTGCACTGTGAGACCTCAGGAGCGCCGAGACCCGCTATAACCTGGCAGAAAGGTCTGAGCCGCACACACGCCCGCACAAACAGACACACATACAGGGATTAGTCTGTTATCCATTACACACGGGACCATAGTTTGCCGTGGCTTAACAAATAAAGCCTGATTAGAATCCTTCGCTGGGATTTACCTCATCGCAGGATTTTCACGTCGCATCCCCAATTGCATACGAGGAAAAACAGTCTCCTGTTTTTCATCTATTTTTATATCCCTGAGTGGCACATTGTACCCTTCCATCCATTCTGTCTGGCCTTTTTTCTCCTTTGAACTTTCCCCTCTGTAATTATGTTTTTTTCCCTGGTGTATATTTGCATGCTTAAGGTGAGCGTGTGTTGGCCAGCGGTTCGGTGCAACTGCCCCGGTTCACACTCCTCGAGTCTGGCAGTTTGCTCATCTCACCTTCACACATCTCCGATGCCGGGACCTACACTTGCATGGCGAGCAACTCCAGGGGCATTGACGAGGCGTCTGCTGACCTCATTGTCTGGGGTAAGTTGGCAGGGGTTGAAATGGAGAAGGCGGTTTTTAACACACACACAAGCTCAATATGCCGTAATGCGAAGGAAATTCAAAAGCAGTCTTTTTCTGTATGTTCTATTAGTAGTGGAGTGTTTTTCCTTAGAGTCCTCACCATTAAAAAGAAATGTTGGGTTCTTATCATGAAGCCACAATCAATTCCTTTGGACACAAAAGCACTCTTCTGAGCAGTAATCATAGAGAAGTTTTTCTCCAAAACAGTCATCCAGAAATAAAACACAAACCAGCAGAAAGTCATTTTTAGCTGAAATTAGTTTTCTGAGATTCATTTGCTATTTTCTTTCCCTTATTGTTCACCTGAGAAAGCGCAATTCCTTGGTTTTCCCCCTCAATTCTTGCTTTTTGTCCCCCTCCAGCACGCACACGGATCACCACGCCCCCCCAGGAGCAGAGTGTTATCAAAGGCACTAAAGCCATCATGACTTGTGGAGTTACACACGACCCCAGTGTAATTATCAGGTAAGGGGTTCGCGGTTGTAGTTCTGTTGTGAGAGTCACGCAGTAATAGCCAGCAGTTTAAATAAATAGCCAGCAGTTAGGACCAGTTGTTAGGTTCAAGGGCAGCTCCATTTTCGGGCCCCATATCTCTGCCTGTAACCCCTGAAAACAGTACTTCTTTGTTCTGGACAAGCAAAAAGTTTGTTTCACTTCGTTCTATTTATGAATACAGTTAGTTTTTTTTGCTTTTTCAACAAGCTGCACATGTGATGATGATGGCAAAGTAAATCCAGATTTTTGAAGTGTTTTTCTTTTATTTGTTATAAATGAAGGACTCAAATGTCCAGTTTAGACTTTAAAAGTGGTCCTTCAGAGGCCTTTATGACTTGAATTGAGTAAACTTTTATTTAATTGGACTAATTAAGCATAATTTAGAAGGCTCACACCTGTCTGGTAAGGTTTCAAGATTTGACTGCTGAGTAATTTAGTCCCAGTAGTTGGAGTCTATTAACTGTACTGTCTCATTCATTCCAGTGTGGTTTGCAGAAAAATGTATCCGTTTTTTTATGTAGTTAGACAGCAGCAACTAGAAACTTGAGCAAATGTTTCTAATATAAGATCATCAAACTGCACATCATAATAAAATTGACCATGAACTACATTATATCTTATGTCATTTGGCTGATATCTTTATAATTCATATTGCATGCTTTAAAATCTGTTTGAGGGCTTTTCATAATACATTTATTAATGCACTAAATTAAGGTTTACATGAATTATTTCACTGTTGATATCTAATTCTGTGATCACATGCTGGAGTCCTGCTGTGCAAATGTTAAGAATTTATCCAAATACCCACAAATTCATATGCCATTAAAAAGAAAGTGTTTATCAAATGTTTCTACATGACAACTGTTTCAGCCAGTGAAACACACAACTCTCTCAGCCACACATTTTCTGAGCTCTCGCCTTGTATCAGACATCACTGGCGATCAATAACCTACTCTGTCCCTCTATACTCAGAGGGTAAAGATACATCTAACGCTGCTTTTGAGCCACGTAGTTTTGATTAATCCCAATTTGTCGTTTGATATGCAGCCATCGGCCGCTCCGACACACGCACAGGTCAGCTCTATTCACGGGTTTGAAGAGACAGAGGGAAGGATGATGAAATATCTCGTTAATAACATGTTCATCTTCCATTGTGGTGAGAGAGAAGACGAGTAAAACCTCCGTTCGCTCATTGCTTTGCTGTCAAAACAAGTTAACCTCAAGTCCACAACACACGCAATGTCCCATTTTCCGATAGGGTGGCAACAAAATTAGGCATGTTAAGACTCTGGAAAACTAATAAAGAGTTTTTGTGATTGAGAATGATGTAGATTTAATTAGGCACTGGGGTAGAGAAGGATGTTGAAAGGGAGAGACGGTATAGCATTAAAAAAAAAACAGCAATCTCACTATAATGTGTAACATGATGGACAGTTTTGTTTCCTGTGAGCATTAACTATTCACTCATAGTTCAACCCCTTTCATTTATGAGAGGAGAAACTATCACCTGAATGTAACGTCCAACAATTCGCTTGGCAACAGTTTTCAGCTTCGAGACCAAAGCGAACCCCTACAAATGCAGCTTTTGATGCGTCGTGGTAATGATTTTTGATCCCAATTTAACCGGCCGTCTGACCGGTGACCGTTCCAGGCACGTCTGGGAAAAAGACGGCTCGGCGATCAACGTGCAGTCCATACCCCGCATGCGGCTGGAGGCGGACGGCACCCTGCACATCTCCCAGACCTGGTCGGGAGACATCGGCACGTACACGTGCAGAGTCACCTCGGTCGGGGGCAACGACTCCCGCAGTGCTCACCTCCGTGTCAGGTAGCCCCCCTCGCACCCTCCTCCCGTACCTGTTTTTCTGTTTTTATATGGTCTTTCTTCTTGTTTCCAATGTTGTCCAATGCAAAGACACAGGAACTAACATGTTCTTTGATCCCCCCCCCTCACCATACACATGTGCAGACTTGCAGACAGACAGGAGTCAGACACATGCACCCTTACCACCATCACCCATCCCTGATCCTATCGACACCTCTGACTCATTTCCACTTAAATGACGCCTGTACTTCCTCACCTCTCTTGTCTTCATTCTCACCTGACACGCTTGCATCCCCTGGCGAACCCCCCCCAACACACACACACCATTCCCAGTGCTCTTCGTACACAGAGATTTCTGTATTTCTATATTGTTTCTCCCCTCAGATCTTTACCTTCTCCGTGTAATTTTTACTCGCTGTTTCGGGCCCCACTGAGTCAGTGCAGTGAGGTTAAATTGAATCTATATGTGACATCCAACTCCTGTTTGCCAAGTTGACTGACGTTTTCTGTCTTTGTTCAGCCACCGGCCGTCTTGTTGGCTGGCTGCCTTTTTGAATGAGTTACCGCGCGTTCATTGCTTAAAGGTTTATATATCAATCTGTCCGCGCTTATCTGAATTTATGGCTGCATGAATTAATGATCTGCAGCTTTGGCCTCATTTATTCCCGTCTTTGTCTGTGCATTTCCTTCCTATCTGTCTCCTAATGCCATTCAATACCCCCCCTCCCCGCCCAGGTAAAATCTATCTCGTTTTGTTTGCCTGTGTGTCCATCTTGACAAGGAACAATCTGTGCCGCGTTGTCATGTCACATTTCATCACCCGTCGCGCTGATCTCTCTTTTATAAAAATTTCAGCTTTACTTCGGGCTTTGGCAAGAGATGCTCGGCGGAGGAAGCAAAGTGCTTAGTAACTCTTGGGCTTCGCAGCCTGTCTGCTGTGATAGAGAGATTCTTTTATTCATCAACGTTGTCCTGCTGTCCCCCTGCAGGCAGCTTCCCCATGCCCCGGAGAACCCCATAGCCTTGCTGAGCAGGTCGGAGAAAAGAGCCATCGACCTGGCCTGGGCGAAGCCATTTGATGGCAACAGTCCCCTCATACGCTACATTCTGGAGGTTTCTGAAAACAGTAAGTCCTGAGGTCTGGTCTATCCCCCTCGTGCATCCCACCAGCTACACCCCTCTCAACTTTCTGTGCTTTTTGTGATAGTTGACACAACTTTAAGACTGTAAATCATTCATGATGAGTTGATTTTGGGGAAAAAGGGAGCTTGGCTCTCGGGATCAATGTTACAGCTGCGAGTTAAAAAGATGTTAAGTGTTGCTTGTTTAGGCCCTTTTTTTAATGCAGCTCGACTGCTGTGATCCCTTTTTTCCCCCCAAAGAGATTAAATGCAGGGCAGATACAGCAAAGAACTTGTAACAAGATCAAATAGAATTTAAGAATGTGATCGATGAGGCTAATTAAGGACGTCCATCACTGCTTTCAGTCTCGTCTTAAGTTGGATGTTTGAAAACCACACTGAAATATCTCTGTATCTAACTTCGGTTTGAGCTCGTCTTCTTTCGACATGTCTCAGTGTGTGCGATTGGTTTAAACGACTGGGGATGTGGCACCGCTTCTGTACAGAAATGAGAGCCGAATTATACCCTGTGACATTTATTTTCTTTGTTTTAGATGCTCCTTGGGCCATCCTGCTGGCCAATATTGAACCGGAGTCCACAGCGGTGACGGTGAACGGCTTGATCCCAGCTCGCTCCTATCAGTTCCGCCTCTGTGCCGTTAACGATGTGGGGAAAGGACAGTTCAGCAAGGAGACCGACCGGTGAGGGAAAGCAAGAGGTTTTTTTATGTGCTCCAACCATGCCGATTCAACATTGTGCAGGTCTTATCAAAAAAATTTGCAAGAAAAAAAAAGAAAAGAGAATTGTGGACTACTCATTTTAGGGAGTGGAAGTTCTGTGTAACTCCAACGCATTTGTTTTCCAAGGACGTTTCTAAATGAAAAGCTTTCTGTTCATCGTAGGAAAGTAAGCCTTCCTTGAAAACCTGGCTCTACAATGTCATTTTTTCAGCATTTAATCAGCAGTCATGAGAAATCTTGGAGATGCAAAACTAGAATCATTACTCACTTCAACCCACGACAAAGGTGGATAAAAAGGTATTTTTGTATAACCAGTACATTTGAGCCATAAAGCTGGTTCTGATAAAGCTCACATTGTGAAACCACGCCAATTATGAGATTATACTCATTACACACACGTGTTTCAGTCCTTTTCCCAAGGTACAATGCCAACTGTTTTATGCCACTATCTGAGTATAGATAGTACAATAGTCTGCGGGCTGTTTTGCAGACAGCAGACTGGACCGATCCCTTCAGTCTGGGCTCGGCGAAAAGAGATATGTTTATTGAAGCAGATACACACATAAACACTGATCCACTCACACAACGCACGCTGGGTGAAAGCTACCGGTTGGATTTAGGTCTGAGGCGAGATCTCTCTCTTGGCATCTTCGTGTCCTTACACGACTTGGAGCACTAATTCCTAGACCGCACTAGTCACCCCCCTGTCCCCTCCTCGCTCCACCAGTCTGTCACACCACCTCACACTGCCAGCTCCCTCACCAGACAAGAGTCGGGGGTGTGTGTTCGTCTGTTTGCGGCTGTCCTGATGCTGCACTGAATCGCTACCGATCTCATTCCCGTATATTGGACTGAATATATAGGCAGATGTAGAGGAAATCTAAATATATAGACCTATTTTGAATTGAAAATGTTTTACATTTGTTTTCAAAACTCTGTTTTTCATGTCTCCTCTCCAGGATGATTTATCCTGTTTTTCTCACTGCTCTGTTTTCATTTACATCCTTGATTTTGTGTGTGTGTGTGTGTGTGTTTTGTAGCGTGTCCCTCCCAGAGGAGCCTCCAAGTGCTCCTCCTCAGAACGTCATTGCTAGCGGTCGGACCAACCAGTCCATCATGATCCAGTGGCAGCCTCCACAGGAAAGCCACCAGAACGGCCTCCTCAGGGGCTACATTGTCCGGTAAAGAGCCCCTGATCGGCCACCTGTCAATAGTCACTCGGCCAGAATTCAGTTTGGCTGACTTTCCTCATGTCAGACAGATACCAGACAAATCAATTAAAAAGGGATAAATTCATTTTTTAAAATTTTATTAAGGTTGTCCATACATATTTACTCAATCAACCTGAAGGAAGAGTTTGTTTGTTTGTTTGTTCAGGCAATGTAGCATGTATTTTATCATATTATGTCCCAATTTTATCACATACTGGACACATCCTATTGTTTCGCCATTTTTGGGCTACAAAAATAGCAGGATTTAGGAGTATATTTCACTAAGACCTGACAGGGTCTGCTAAAACAACCAGTTTTAAGATGCTTTGTCTGAGGGGAACAAACATTGAACTACTGGGAGAAGTTCAACAAACTCGGGGGAGTTATAGGCAGAGTCAGCAACAAGCCAAACTGACTGTAAATCCTTCAAACATGTTATTAGTTTGGTTTCCTGTCAGATGTTTTATTCTTTACATCCAAATGAACTGCAGGTGTTTGAGAGGAAGAGCTGTCAGTGGTGTTTTATTGCATGGTTGCTGGTCCTTTGTCTCCCCCCATCAGGGATTCTAGAGTACTGCATCAGAGCACTTAAATGTCTTTTGTCGGGGAAACATCCGAACTGCCTCAATCATGGTGTAAAACAGACTAGAGGCTTGTCAATCCATATTCGCAGCAGGTTTTTAGTAACAGCATTCCAATGCTTTAAATGCATGTTTCAGGTACCGTCTCACCGGGCTTCCTGTGGACTACCAAATCAAGAACATCTCCAGCCCAGATGTGACAACTCTGCTGCTTGAAGACCTCATCATATGGACTAACTATGAGATTGAGGTGGCCGCCTACAACGGAGCTGGACTGGGAGCTTTCAGCCATAAGGTCACTGAGTGGACGCTACAGGGAGGTGAGAACTCATCCTTAAAAAGATGAAATACATCATGAAGTGAGTCATTCTTTTTAAGGGCACTTTGATAATGAAGTCAGCATAATTTGACATATATATCCACGCCTGTTCTTAAGCATTGTTTGGTTTTATGTTCAATGCTGTGCAAAATTCTTGAGATATTTCTTGTTTTACTGTATATAATTTTTTTTAATTTTCTCTTTTTTTAAGTTTCTATCTGTTTTCTTGAAGGGAATTTCAAAGCCCTTCTGTGGAATTCCATCTTTTGTCCACTGGTTTCCTCTCATTTTTAAGGGAACACGGCACGCCATGCTGAGATATGTCATGTTTTCAGCTAGCAGCTCTTTGGTTATCTCTTTAGCAGAGCCAAAGTTCATTTTGCACATCCTTTCTTTGTCACTTTGACAAAAATTGGAGTAAATAGCTTTACAACAGGCTGCAAACAAAAAGCTGCTTTATCCCTCTTTGTTTGCTTGAATGATTCATAGGTAGGAGTTAAATGTCTTAAGAAAGGAAAAAACATTGGCGGGGTGAGAATAAGTTTAAAAAGGTTGGTATATCCAAAGAAAAAGCTCAAACATTCACAGAAGCCTGGTTAACTATTGACCTCTCCAGGCAAAATATAAAGAAACAGCTGAAGGTTCATTATTTGCAAAGTGCTGTATACTCCGTCTGAAAAGATGACTATATAAACTCTTGTTTGTATGTATCGCACAATAGCGTGATATGCCCCCTAAAATCCATAAGCAGGCCTCCCAGCTCACACAGATCCCTGGAATTAGGAGTAAGTGCCTGACACAGAGTGATGGCAGTACCTGCCCTGACCTGTGCAGCAGCGATCGATACGGCAAAATAGATGCAGCCGACTTCCAGCAGTCAACTACAAGCCACTCTCGCACCTTTTGTTTTTTTTTCTTCTTCCCACTTCTACTTTATTGTCTTTGTCTGTTCACTCATTTTTTCTCATCCCTGTTTTTTCTCGCCAATTTCAGTGCCGACCATCGCTCCCGGTAACGTGCAGGTGGAGGCAGTCAACTCGACGGCGATCCGTTTTACTTGGACCGCTCCAAACCCTCAGTTCATCAATGGCATCAACCAGGGCTACAAGGTCAGCAGCTCCCAAGTGTTGTAACAGCTTTACATCCATTGACAGAACTGCCAGTTGAACTTGTATTACCACATGTAGTAAGAGGAAGAGAAAAGCCGGCGGGCAGTATTTGGCGCCAAAAGGAAAAAGGGCTTCTGAGGTCATTTGCTCTATATTTGCCTTCATTTTTCCCCGTTTTATTGTCTATATATCGCAAGTGTAGCTTGCTGATGAATTCCTTCTTTTTTTGTTCTTCTCTTTTTGCTGTGGACCCTTGAACAATTGCCATTTCTTTGTCTCGTGTGCAAACCTTCAAATGGCTATCCCCTACAGGGAATCACAAAGCAACATCAAGGGGGTCGTTCTATGGTTCTTCAGATCCACTGAGACTTAATTACATCTCTGGGTTTTCCACTCCTGTTTTTTTTTTTTCTACCTGGCTGTTCCAAGCTTTACTCAGATGGGTGGTCAGGTTAAAACTTAATCTGATTTTTAAATATTAACTTTCTCACCAGGGGGAAAGACTCAAGGGCTAGGAAGAAAATGAGATAAAGACTGTGGATGGAGAGGGAAAGTGTGGCGAGGGAAGATTTTTAGGGTCAGATGGAGCGATTTATATTCTGTGTAGAGAAAAATTGGGCAACTGTAAGAAGACGGATAAGCATTTATTCTTCTTATGTTCCCTTTGCTTACTCTTTGCTTTCCTGAAAGCTGCCTCTCTCCTAAAAACTGGAAATGACCCAATAGACCAGCCATTAGGACTCATTACCTAAAAAGCTAATTGGTCAATCCAAATCTCATTTGTCCAAGCTTTACAGTATGCAGTGCGCACACATGATTGGAGGATATCATGCCTCTCCTGGCATACACAACTAGCTCTATGCAGCCCTTCTCACCCTGGTGAGATCTTCCTCAGGGCTTTTTTTCTAAATATATCTAAAAAAACTTTATGACAGATGACTCTTTAGAGTGTCTCATTTCTTTTGTTTTCTTTTGTTTTTTCATCTCTTTCTAGCTGCTGGCCTGGGAACCTGGCAAAGATGAGGAGGTTGCTATGGTGACGGTGCGGCCGAACTTTCAGGACAGTGTCCACGTGGGATATGTGACAGGTCTGAAGAAGTTCACCGGCTATTACACCTCGGTGCTGTGCTTCACTACACCTGGAGACGGCCCCCGCAGCCCGCCTAAAGCACTGAGGACACACGAGGACAGTAAGTGGCTACTCCACCACACTTTTCTGTCTCTGGTGGCTGTACGCGCTATCAGGATCTATCATTTATACACAGTAAAATCGTACAGAGATGCTAATGACAGAGTATATTCTGTATCGTGACACATGGTTCTCCTATAGGCTCAGCTTGACAAACTCTCAATGCACCTAATCATTCAGTACATTTCAGCACATTTGGCCCAAATCTCAACAGCCAATCAGACTGTATGCAGAGCAGCTCGTTTGCCTATCGGCAGTGCTCATTAGTCTTATTCCTCCCGTCCAGCCCCGGGTGCTGTGGGTCACCTCAGCTTCACCGAGATCCTGGACACCTCTCTGAAGGTGAGCTGGAGCGAGCCCGGCGAGAAGAACGGAGTTCTCACAGGTAAGTTTGAAATATGAGATGAGAAGCAGCGCTAAGGTGGAATTGTTGGTACTTGACCTCATTTATTGCATACCGCACAGGGGAACTACAGTAGTGTTCCTTGTATATTTCTATTTGGGTCATGCACGTATTACTCCCTAAGCCAGACACCAAATATACCTTTGCTGCAGTGAGCGAACTCTTGTCATAATATAATACAAAATTGTCTTATAAAATGCTCTCCTGCAAAAAAAAGAAAAAGAATGTTTTCCTAAGATCTGCACAGTAAATCTTATACAAACAGGCTCCCTGTCATAGACATAATAGCCACTGTAGGCAACTGTAGCCTAGGAGGAAGAGCAGTCATATACCAGTTGGAAGATCTGGGGTTTGATTCCTAGTTTAGCTTTGCAGCATGTTTAATAAATAAAAATACTGTATAGCCTGAAAACTGTATAAACCAAGATGTGTTGTGTGAGTGAGTGCGTGAATGTGGCTTGTAGAGTAAAAGCTAGAATGAAAAGGGCTATATAAGAACAGTGCCTTTACTTATTTCACAACAAGTCGTTTGTTCTGATGGAAAAAGTGAGCCGAAATTAAGCCATTTTGGTGTGACAAAAGCCTACAAAGCACCGAACATATAAGGAAGATATGACATTTATGAGATGCTCATGATCACAAATTGCTGGGTAGAATAGGACCCATAACTGATAAAACCTCGTAATAAACAGAATGAGATATGACTTGGTAAAGGGAGATTCGTTTTAGTTTACTCTGCTGCAGGCAAGTGTGCTTATGCTAATTCTGGCTGTTTTATGTGGCTCATGTAACCAAACAAAGGACACAGTGAAAAAAAAACCCAAAAGCTTATTAAATAGAGCGAGGCTCTACTACACATAACACAAAGTAAATTTACAGACAGGAAGCAGCCAAAAGATGACATCAAACAGAACGTGAGAGTGAAAAAATCCAGACTATGATACACAGGCACGGGTGAGAAAAAAAACTGAGATCCCGCATATAGTTTTAAAATCTCACTGTTTAACAGTTTGTCACCAGCAGGCCTTTTCAACATAAACATGGACTTTACCTAAAATTCTCCAGCTCTCATTCACATGCAAATGCAATATTTGTTTGAATACTTCCTGGCATAAAAATTTCATCTCCCTTTTTGGAGTACATGGGTCTCTTATGAAAAGGGTCTTGTAATTAAATATTAAGGAGAAATGAAACAACAAAACAGTCTAGACTGTACTTACCTTTCACTCAGTGAGTGCTGGGGTAGGGTTCAGCCCACCCCGAATTGGACAGGACAGAGGTACCAAGCAACAGAACATGAAACAGGTGAGGAGCAAACCTATGAGGCAAAAGTACAAGAATGAAGTCATTCATTTTTCATGCGAAGTCTCCTGAGCCACTGTATGCCACTGGTTTGTTTTGTTTCAGCCTGTTAGTGGGGAGTGATGAATTAGCAGTTGCACTGGAACGCGTATCAGAACTTAATGGATACCCTGCAGACAATCAGAACTAAATATTCACTCATTTGTTTTAGAAAATCAATTTCAGTCTAATACAAACTTCATCACCTTTGTTCCATCTCAGGTAGAGCAATAAACTTGTTTTGTAGCACTTACTGTAGCTGTAGGACATCCAACATTGAAGGGGCTTTTTTAAATTGATTGATTGCTGAATTATGTCATTTTTATTTAATTTCATACCTTAATTTCCATCCAAATTGTTTTACAGTAAGACTGTTTTAGTGAGCAAATCTTAATATAACGTATTTAACCTGTATTATTCCCACACACATTTCCTTTTAAACACAAATCCTCAACAGTCATAATAATATCTGAGATTCAACGACATATTGTTAAGTGTTCCAGGACATTTTAATGTGCTGCAACATTAAAGGGAGACAAACAGTGGCATGTCATGTGAGATTACCGTTTTTTTGCGCGAAATGCTGCTTAATGCTTTATGCAATCACATGAAAAGAGCTGCTGGCCAAAGAGCAAATTACATTAACTTTGAGAGGGTGAGTGTGTTGGTGTGTTTCTATAGGAGTGGGCGGAGGATGTGTGAGTGCAGGGGAGGTATAATCACAGGCTGATTAAATTTGCTATATTCAATTTTTGATGAAGCTAATTTAATATTTCTGTTAGCTTGCTCCGTAGCGCAGAGCTGAGAGTGGCTATTGTTGTGTAGCTGCTGTCAAATTTTCCCTCGGAGGATTCTCGGCCCATTGCTGGTAACCCATTTCTGCTGTTCCTCAGGCTATCGTATTTCTTGGGAGGAGTTCAACCGCACCAACACCAGAGTCACCCACTACCTGCCTAATGTGACCTTAGAGTACAGGGTCACTGGACTGACCGCTCTCACCACCTACACTATCGAAGTGGCAGGGATGACCTCAAAGGGCCAAGGACTGCTCTCGTCTTCAACTATTTCTTCTGGGGTCCCACCAGGTCAGTAACCAATCTAATCTGCCAATTAAAACAAACCTATTTAAACGTATTTATTAAAATTGATAACAAGAAAGAGAGGCATTTTAGAGATGTAGTATGATAGAACAAAATGTTAATAAACATATTAATAATAAAGCTTTATAACTATTCAACACCTTTTTGAAGAGAGGAAGTTTCTTGTTACCCTCAGTGTTGTATTTTATTGATCCTTTCCTGGATATTATGTATGATGCATTCAGAGGTTTCACACTTTCAGGTCCCAGTCATAAATCTGTCCCGGGCTTTTGGTTAGATTCACACGGCAGAACTCTGAGCCCGTTCCCTTTTTAAAGCTTTGACAAAGTCGCAGATGTTTCTGAATCCCCTTGTCCTGCAGATTTACTGTCTCACGTTAAACCCTGGGAACACAATCCATGCTGACTGGCGCCAGGCACGATGAAATCTGACTCCAGTCACCTCATTAAGGACAGAACCCAAAAGAAAAAAAAAACTCATATCTTCCCCCGAATGCAGAAAATAACAGCTCCCATGAGGGCATTGAGGACAATTACAGTGTTCATTGATTTAATATTTGCAAACTTGTGCAACAGATACACAATGCCCACAGCAATTACCGGAGCTACATTTAGGCTCTGTACGTCTGTGAAATCTGGGAAATGATAGGCTTTTTATATTTATTTATTTTCCAAAACTGGCTTCTTAGTTGCCAGAGTGGTAATTACTCCCATTGTATGTGTGTAAAGAAAACGCCTGTAACTGCTCTGTAAAGAGGGAGCTAAAAGCAGCCTTGGTGATCACTCACGCAAATAATACCGAGGTGCTAATTTTACTATGCGACATATAATCTGCATTTCATTAGGACTGAGCACATTTGCATTTGAGCAATCTTGGAAAGAATTGCTTAGTATGCCCAGGGGAGGGATTATATCTTTTTCTCCCCTTTTTTTTTAATATTAGGGCACTCCAGTGTGCCACCGTTTGACATTAATGTCTTCCACTAGGATTTATGTAAGCTTTGGTGTACAGTGAAGTTTGATTATGGTATTGTAACCATGTGGGATAAAACAGAAGAGGTAGAAATGTTTGCTCTAAAACACAGTTTCATTCATATCTGATTGGATCCATAGAAACCCGGAAAAAAAAAAAGAAATCATACTTACAAAAATTGTCCCCTGCTGTTATTTGAATTTCCAGGCTTGTTTCTTCTTCCAGGATTACCAGCCAGTAATCCACTGCTATTGTTTGTTTTGTTCAAAAGTAAACAAGTGGGATATCAGATTGAATTTCATTTACAAATAGCTGAACTGTAATTGACATTCATGGCATTGTCTCCATCTGTGTGCCGTGTGTAAGTGTCTCTTCCAAATCTAATCTGCTTTTGATGTCTTAGCTGAAGTTGGGGAATCAGGGGAGTGAGGGAGATGGGACAGCTGAGGAATTCATCTGTGTGCAGGAATTCTGTATTTGTACGGACACAGGGGGGCACTGTGGTAGATGGATTTCCCCGCAGGAAACCAAAACTAACCAGTGTGAGAGGCAGCCAGAGGAAATACTATATATCCACAGGAATTTCAGTTATTTGTGCCCACAATCTTTTTTTTTTTCAAACCCTCTTCATCAACTTTGACTGATTGCTTCTTCATAGAGCTCCCTGGGCCTCCCACCAATATCGCAATCTCCAACATTGGTCCACGCTCTGTGAACCTCCAGTTCAAACCTGGCTACGATGGCAAAACTTCCATTTCCCGCTGGCTGGTGGAGGCTCAGGTGAGTACGTAGTTTCAAGTGGTATTCCTGGCTGGATTCTTTGGATACAGAGGTTTGTCGGATTCTAACTGTTGCCTGTAGCTGTATTTCTGACCCCTCTGATATCTTGGTCTCAGGTGGGTGCCGTGGGAGACGGTGAAGACTGGGTGGTGGTTCACCAGGTGTCCAACCAACCTGAGGCCCGCTTCTTAGAGGTTCCTGGTCTCAATCCATTCACCGTTTACAGGTAGGCCCCTGAGAACACAGTGGCCTTCAGCTCAGTTACACAGAAAATAAATTAGAAATTGGAGCTTTTCATTCATTATACTCCTCTCGTTAAGATATATCCGGCACAGTTAGTAACTATTTTTCAAATTCTTTATTGAGAATCATTAATAGGTTAAAGCCTTCTGACATCGTAATTGACTTAAATTACCAATGAAAGGGATTTGTTTTTCCTCACGCTGTGCTGGAACTCTAAGCTGTTTACTCATCAACTATTTTGTCCTTAGATCTGTTTTCAGGGTTAAGATCTGGTTGATGACTCTAAAGTCACTAAATATTCCACTTCTTTCCACTCTTGTGGCTCACAAATGGCTCTTACCTTTGTACTGAGCCCCTTCCTTTTTGTGAGGCTTGAATAATGACTAATAATGGAGAGTGTCCTTTACTTGGCTGAATGTTGTCAGGGAGGTTTTTATTTTTTATTTGTTATGATTATAAAGTCATCAGTCAGCCATTCGATAATGTTGCAGATCTAAGACCTTTCTTTCTTTCTTTCTTTCTTTCTTTCTTTCTTTCTTTCTTTCTT